TAAAAACTTATGCATAAAATAATTTCTTTGGTCTCGTTTTTGTCACCAGCAACGGCGGAACCAAAACAAGTAAATAAGCTCATAAATAAACAAACAAAAATAAAATTGCAAAGTTTTGGTTTCTACCAATTGGCAGAAACCGAAAAAGAGAGAGAGGAAGTAAATAAAATAAAATAAAAAAGAAATGAAAAAGAGAATTCTTTACCTTTGTTTGTAAAATCTAATCAACTTTTTCCCAAATCTTATAATTGCTTCATATAAATAGATGGGCATCGAACTTCATTTAAGCCCAACTTACCATAAAACACAACAAGCTTGTTCAAATCAAATTTCTTATGAGTCATATAAATAAATAAATAAATAATCGAAATTCGATCAAAAAAAATTCTTATTCCCAAATTTGAAGGATAAGAATTTTATTTTCAAATTTTTCATCTGTATTAATTGACTAACGGGAAGTTTAAGTTCAAATCAAATCCTAAAATAAAATAATAAAAAAATCAAGAAATTCGAAATCAAAATTTATTAATTTATTTATTTCATAATAAATAAATAAATAAATATTGAGAGGGCATTTGTAGACAATAAAAAAATTAAATAAAATAATAATGGACCAGATTGATTTAAATCATTAGCCCAATTAAATTTTAAGTCCACTAAAGTCCATAAAACCCAAAAACTCATATCACATTTCAAAATAAACATACAAACAAACAAACAAATAAATAAAATCATGATTACTTGATTATTCATTTTAATTAAATATAATTGAGTAATTACCAAAATTAGGACGAATTCTCCCCTATAAATAGGACCAATGGTCCATGAGACGGGTAGAAGATGAAGTGAAAGCTGAAACGAGAAAGAAAGCAGAGAACGCAATCACGAAGTGCTGAAAAAAATCCAAGGCCGGAAGGAGGAAAGATATCCTCTCAAATCTATACTCGGTGAACACCAAAAAAATTAAAATCTTCTTCGAATCAAACAGGTTCACGCCAAATCCAAGAAGATCAAAGTCTTCTTCAAATCAAATCAAATTCAAGTTCAAATTCAAACCTCAAAATTCAAGTACCGAACAAGTCAAGTCTCAACAAATTCTCGGAAATCATGATTCAAGCTAAGTGGCCACTCGTCTTCAAATATTCAGATAATTAATTAGAGAATTTTTTCAATTTTACAATTACAAGGTCATCATCACTTATATTTTATTAAAATACAATTTGTAACGATTTCTGTATTTTAATACATGAAATTTCGTCGTACAAGAGTTTTAAATTGGGTAAGCTTGTTCTTCTTTCGAAGTTTGCATTTTTCTATTTTCTCAACATATGAAATAGGTGGAGTTAAATATGTAAGTATAATTAATAAGGCGAAAAGTCAATAGTAAAATAGTTTGACAATAGGTAGATATTTTTTGTGTGGATATTTATGAAATTTAAACTTTACAATATTTACATAATTGTCAAGATCTCAACATCAAATCACAAAGAAAATTTATTAATGCGGAATGTACATTGATCCATAGATTTGTATCTCGAATGATGAATTTTAAATTATAATCATTAAATCTTATCTTCGGGATTCTTGATTCTTGGTTATGGATTCTTGAATTCTTCTTTTTGATTTTTGAATGTAAATTGTTTGTTCATGATTGTGGGTTTTTTGAATCTTTCTCTTCAATGTTTGATCTCTAAATTCTTGTATTAATAGGATGACACAAAAAATGAGAAGTTACATATGAATTGAGGGCCATAACCCTATATATAGTTTTCACGTGTATTTCGCCCTTATGAGATACAATTCTAAAGGAACCGATCTCTACACATATGATTCGACTCGAACTCTATTTAGATACCCTAAACCCAATTACTTAAGTCTTCATTAGATCGCTTTAGTTTTGAGCTTAACTTTAAAATAATATTTATGCACAATTAATTACATATGTCGGCCCATATGATAAATTAATAATTTTCCAACAATCTCCCACTTGGACCACATATATTACCTTATAAATGTGTATAATTTTATGAGCTCAATATTTTTGCTATCATAACCAAAAGGCATCTCGTCCATTAAATATGTTAATATAGGATCAAAGCGGTATTCATTACAAATACCATAACTAAACCCATCAATGGTCACATATGTCAACACAATCAAATAATATAGATCAAGTATGGATGTATAACACGGAAATTACATGCAATGTGATCTAAACATGTATAGTTCCAACTGCTCCTACTTTATTCTTTAATGAGATCAACCATAAACTTTAATCACAGTGAAAACTGAACTGAATATTTTATTACTGAAATAAACTTTATTGTGCACAACCAAAATGCTTTTGATCTCCGGAAAGATCTAGCAAAGAGTTGCGAAGAATAGTCAATTGCAATAGAAGAAAAAAATCAAAATTCTTTATTGCAATATAGTCATACAAAGTCATGTAAACCTTCTGAATTGATTAAAAAAAAAAGGAAAAAAAATCAAACTTACTTTTATTTGGAATAAGAAATTTGAAAAATTATTCGAGCCAATTGAATTTACAATTCTTTTAAGACAAATTTTCTTCTTCTACTGCTCAAGGTTACGAGCAATTATATTTTAAGATAGAATGATTTTTTGTTCCTACATAAGAAATACCCCAATCATATAGGAACCCAAGAACAGCAATTCTGCCTTTATGAACTTTGATACAAATATTATGCCACAATTTTTACATAAAAGAGAAACTTATTTTTTAATAAAATCGAGGGACTAAAATAAAAATATTTAATTGTCTATGAAATGTCATATATGAATAGCCATATGTACATCGGCTGTGGCCAACACCTAAGAGCCATAACCATTCGTAAATATAGCAACTTTTGAAAAGTTGATTAAATTGTGTTGACCCCAAATAATGTACTTACATGTGGCCAATAGAAAGTAGTACCACGTATGTTCCACCCTGTACAATTGGAACACACCGTTAGTCACTTGTCTCGCTTGAGTGTCAGCTGAACGGTAGGTTAGGCAAAATGCATCATACTCTTTATCAACTTCTTCAGGTCCAAATCTTGATCTCATTCTTGAATTTCTTTGACTTCTCTTGGACTCTATCAACCCCAAACTATACATACTGTAACTTGATTACAATATAATTAAATCCTAATACAACTCTAATAAATTATAATTTTTGTCTTAGAAAATTCCAATTACAAAATGGTCTTTACAAAAACTCATTCAAAGAAACATTTGTATATAATATTTGATTATAGAGAGAACCTTTTTAGCTAATTTTATGGAGGGAAAAAAATTAGATATTTAGAAGAGTGACGTAAATGAAATTATGCTATCCATCAATAGTTATCGGTGTTTAATGTGACGATAACGTTTTTCAATGAATTAAAGTACATTCAAATTTAAAGGAGACTGTTACAATTGAGATCCCAAACCTTTCAAAAAGTTGCAGACGTTTTTCTAACATTTCATTTGTTACAATCGTTACCCAAAACATTTCGAAACATTGTAGATAAAGCCCCAATGGATGAATTATATCCATATTTCTGTTAATTAACTAAAAAGTTGGACTTTGACCACATTTTAATCAATTATAAAAGGACAAAATGATAATTTTATATTTTCCACATTAAAAAAACTTAAATAAAAAACAGCAAAAAAGAAAAAAAGAAAAAAAGAAAAAGAAAAAGAAAAAGAAAAAGAAGAAGAAGAAAATAAAATGGAAAAAAAGAAAAGAAAAGAAAAAAAGATATCTTCTTCTTCCTTAACCCCAACCCCTCAACCCAAACATATATGTATGTATATGTTATGTGTGTCTATATTCAAAACTGCACACAAATAGTCATAATCTCTCTATGTATTTATTGCGTATGGAGGTTTTAGTGCTCAACCATTAAAAAATTTAAATATCTCCATTCTTGAATGTCTGGAAATTTATCAATTTCTGAAATGGCCCTAAATTTCAGGAGTTACAATAATCTCTTCATTTGGTAAATTTTTTTTTTATCATTTTTCATGTAGTTTTTGTATTTATTTTTGCTGAAAATTGAATCACAAGAGGCCAATCGGTAAGAGATGGAGAAGAAATTATATCGAAAGAAGAGAGATTTGTATTGGGATTCTTTAGTCCAGTGGGTTCTGATCTTAGGTATGATATAAACTAGGTTCATAGTGGTGGTGGCAATGGAAGTCGTTGTGGGGGGTGGTGGTCAGTTTTGGGCCAAATGATGGTGACGACAGATTTTTGGTTTTTGATTGAGGGGTTGGGGTTGGAGGTGACGAAGAAGAAGATATTCTTTTCCTTTTTATTTTATTTTCTTCTTCGCTTTTTGTTGCTTTTTATTTAAGTTTTTTAACGTGAAAAATATGAAGTTACCATTTTATCCTTTTATAAGTGATTAAAATATGGCCAAAGTCCAATTTTATAGTCAACTAATAGAAATATAGATAAAATCCTCTCATTGGGATTTCATCCGCAACGTTTTGAAAGATTTGATGTGACGATTACAACAAATAGAAGGTTAAAAAAAAAATCTGCAACTTTTTGAAAAATTTGGAACCTTTAACTATAATTGTCCCAAAAATTAGTCTTCGCTTAAAAAATCTCTCCCCTACAACATATTTGCTCTAGTTTTGTCTGCACCTCCCCGAAGGTAACTTCAGGTCTACACGGGCTTTAGTCAATGGATTACGATAGCTGTACAGGGCCCATACCTGCGGCGTCAAGTGGGGGGCCTGTCGAGCAAAAGTCAAGATAGAATAGAAGAGAGATTTTTCTTGTTAATTAAATTCAGCACACAATATAGTCCCGTTGGATATGAAATTACATTTCATCTTTTTATCTTTTATTTTCAATTATACAATTTTTTATAAAATAATATTACTCGTAAATAAAAAATTTTCCCTTTTTCTAACCATTAATTTTTTAAAAAAATACTATTTTATCTATTTTCATTTCAAAAAAATGGATAGCAAACGGCATAATATAATACTAAACAAGTGTCCCACAAACCTTTATGCAAAATTCCTTTGTTTTGTTTATTCCCATCTGGCCAAGTACAACCGCCTTCTAGTTTCTTCAAGAAACTCCTCCGATCTTTCAACACAACCCCATTAGAAATTTATAAATATCAGACCTCCACTTTCCATTCCAACACAGAAAATTTATTGAAATGATGAAGGCACGTACTGTTGGTATTGGAATGGACTATTCACCCACTAGCAAATCAGCACTGAATTGGGCAATCAATAATCTGATTGATGAGGGTGATCAAATCGTCGTCGTCCATGTTGTTTCTCCTAAAGCTGATCCAACCAATAAGCAACTGTTTGAAGACACGGGATCCCGTAAGTATCACTATATAGATATATATCTTCAACAAGTTCGTCGTTATATTTTGAAAACACACATACCCATATGTATATGTTTGATGTAGTTTATTATGTTGAATTTTAGCACTGATCCCTTTGGAAGAATTCAGAGAGATTAATGTTTCCAAGCACTATGGGCTCACACCTGATCCTGAGGTTCTTGATATGCTTGATACGGTGTCCAGGACCAAAAGGGTAATATACCTCTCTCTCTCTCTCTCTCACACACACACACAAGAAATATTTCAATGGACGGTTACATATATGTCCGTTTACTGAAGATTTTTTGGGAATATGTAAAATGTTTTCCTCTTAATTTTGGGGTGAGATGCGTATACAGGTTAAGGTGGTGGCCAAGGTGTATTGGGGAGATCCAAGGGAGAAGTTGATTGATGCAGTGGAGCAACTCAAGCTTGATTCACTTGTTGTCGGAAGTAGAGGTTTAGGAGTGCTCAAGAGGTAATTATATTAATCATTCATCAATTAACTATTCTTCCTAAGTGTTCTGTTAAAAAACTGAAATCAAGCATATCAAGAACAAAGAGAATTGAAAAAAATAAAAATAAAAATAAAAATGCAGGGTGTTGCTTGGAAGTGTAAGCAACTACGTGGTCGATAACGCGCCGTGTCCAGTGACGGTTGTGAAGGGGGCATCGCCTTCAAAGCCTTAAGGTTTTTGTCCAAGTTATTGCAGTCAATTATAGTGTGCGAATTTGATCTGAAGTATTATGTGGTGGCTATGTCGTTATCTTTTTATACGTAACTTGTCATTTCGGTGTTTGAGAGAGAGATGCATCATTATCTTGGATTGTTTGGAGTTATTCAATAGTTCTTGGTGCTTGGGCTGTTTTTACGTGGCCATGCCAAGCGGTCTGTGTATGTTCTACTTTTTTCTTTGAACCAACTTGAATAATTCGGTTTGAATTATTTTCAGCCTATGTCAAACCAACTTGATTTTGTGTGTAAAAATCAAACCAATACGAACTAATCAATCTTGGGTTGTTCGGTTTGGGTTTGGACTTCATTCGAGTTCAATTATTTAAATTTTTATATTTAAAAAAGGGAAAGGCTGGGAAAACAGGGGGCTAACCGCCCCCTGACAGAAACCCCACAATAGGGGGGTGGGGTCCCATTTTTTCACGCGGGACCCCCTCCCCCCCCTTCCCATTTTGGGGGGTTTTTGTTTGCCCCTCTGTTTTCTAGCATTTCCCTTAAAAAAAATAGTGGTGATGACTAATGACGTGGTGGTATGAGTTTGTGATAAAATTACGAGTTGACTAAAAATGGAAATTTGATAATCAAACTATGGATACAGTTTTCTAGGAAACTTTTTGTATGAAAAAGTATCTAAAAATATCAAATTTAGATATTTGTACAAAGTTGTCGATGTAAGGAACCATGGGTATAGCTTTCTGACAAATGAAAAAATAAATATATTAATATGAAGTCTCTATATGATACTTGTATTGATAATTTCTAAGCATAAATATTATATATTAATATATTTCGTCTAAATACAAGTTTAAACTAAAGAATTATTACAAGATTCAACAATAAAATTTAAATGCGCAAATTCATTTTTCTTAAATAGGTAAGAAAGTGATAATAAATTTTTATCTCGTAAAGATTCAATTTCAACTAGAAAGTAAATTTGTTGGAGTGTGAGTTGAACAAATAAATAATTTATTTTAGGCAAAATTTGAAAAGTAATAGATTCAGTAAGTTGAGAGTAACGTCCTGAATGGAATAACTTCAGTTTCAATTTATTAGTTATATATGAAATTTGAATTATGTGATCAAAAGAAAATTTGATTTCGTAATTATTCTAAATTAATTTAAGGAAGCGGTAAAATTAGGAATTTTGTCCAATATGGATAATTGTATTGGATTTAGGATCCTTTTATTGTTATCTATATCAATTCTTGATTCGAAATCTAGTTTCGTTCACGTGTTCATGACAATTGATAAAGTTGATGTATTTAACTTCTTTTTCAAGACAAATTAATTCTATCTTAACCACAATCCGAATCTATTCCGAGCCCAAGTTCGTATGGTTAGAACGCATTAAATTTTAGATTATTTATATTATTATACACGTGAAATGTTATTCCTAACATTTATTGAACATATGTTAATTTTGTTGCGTAATAAGCTTATTGCAAGTCTCCTACCATTACAACAAGCAACTAATCATCTAATTAGTGGTCAATCAACTAAATAATGCAATGAGAACAAAAATTAATCAAGAAATACAAAAAATAGTAAACTACTATTCATGGATTAGAAATAAATAACAAATAGGGTTCATGTACAAAAGTGGATTTATGTCAACATATTAACATATAAATTACAAGAATATATGACTTAGATCATGAAAGAATACAAAAGATGGTGATGTAAGTCTTAGGTTGAAATCTTTAAAATCTTTATGTAATTGAGCTTCAATTCCTTCCTAGGGTTTTATCTAATCTCCAAAAAGTAATAAGTTGATCCCTATTTATTTATTATTATTATTATTATTATTATTATTATTATTATTATTTTATAAATTTGATGATACTATTTTGTATGAAGAAGTTAATGTGTAACCCTTGTTCTTTACTTATAAGAGCTAGAAAATATATCAAAATCGCGTCCAATTTGGGTCTTAAAGTGTTTGAATTGCAAAAAGAAACTGGTAATTCGTATGTGGAAAAAGTTGTGCACACTCACAATATAACCTCAGCGTGTATGCCGTTGATCCATATTGCTCTTATGTCATGAATTTGTGTCTCGCGCGTGCCCAATGAATGGCCCACGCGCGTTATTTTGTGCTCTATTGTTCTTGAGCAACTTTTGATATTTTGGTCATAATTTTCTATTTCAATATTTGATTAAGATGATTCATAGTACGTTGGAAAGCTAACTTAAAGAGCTGAATTCAATGTTTCCATTTCGAACATTTGCTGTTACATCTCTAACTAAACCACTTTGGAACACCACTCCCCGGAGTGCCACTTGTCCATCCGAAGTGGTTCTAAAGTGATGCCAACTCCTGACGACCTCATCATGAAGCGTTGTGAGATGAAGAGTAGATCCACTGAGGTGATCGAAGTGCCCCTTTGACTTCGAAAGCTTGAGCACTCCGAGGCGCTCCCTTAACAGATCCATCCGTTGCCAATATCAGAAAGATATTTGTCAAGATCCCCTCTGACTCCAAGGATCGATTGATGTGACATCTTCATAGGTCTAGTTGATGTGACGTATCAACTTTATGTCAACTTAACTCAGAAGAACTAATTGCCCGTCCACTCTAGACGCGGCTGATTGACGCCTATCAGTAGATGCCACACATTGTGAGATGCATACACGTGTTTCACATCCGACGGTGCTCTACGTCTATAAATACCCAAGGTTTGGCAAAAGACAAAGGTAAAGAAACACAACTTAGCTCTCTATACTAAGAAATATATATTTTCTTTCCCACTCTCTTGCACAACTTGAGTACTCTTCAGATCACCCAATGCTGATTTGATCGTCGGAGTGTATGTGATCGCCACTACCACCGTTGATTCTGATCGTGAGCTTCTGACCATGCGTTATTGTGCACAGGGAGGATTACGTAGAGTAGCTATTCGTTGGCCACGTGGAGGGTCCGATTCTTGAGGTCCACAGATTAGCGCCTTCTGTGAGAAATCTTTCCGTCCAAAAGTTTCACATTGTCCACTAGAAAAGTTGCTGGCAAACCATTGACTTACCCTGAAAAGGGCACGTTCTTGAAAATGAACAAAGTCACCTTACAATTAAAGTCCTTAACACCCTCGAAAAGTTAGACAAGATAAGTCATAGTAATGAAGAAGCAAATTTTGAAGGGCACGGGGATGCCTTTAAAGAAGAGGTAATCAGGACCAATGTCATTCACTGGAGACTCCGTCACCAACGTCATCGAGGAGGCAACAGGACAGTAGCGCTCACTGAAGGAATTACTCAAATAGCTGTCAAAATGAGGGACATTGTAGCTCAGAATGTGGCGATGCACGAATTTTTCATGTAGACTCGAGGTTATCAGGGCTTCCAGATGCCTCAAGGATCTTACCCAGCTCAAAAAATTCCTGTGTCTCATGGCCGAGGCCATTCGAGCCAGCACCGGAAACATCCCCTTGAAAAGAGAAGTGGGTTTGGATGTCACATCCTACGCACAAGGGAGCCAACCAGCAGAACCATCGCTAGGAGGGAACTTCTCACAAAAATACGAATTGCAAAGGTCAGTCAATGTCTTCGATAGAATAGGGCAGAACCCTAGCAATAGGATCCGCTCTGTGCGAAGATCAGTTCGACAAGAGTAGAAACAAGTACCTCTTCTGCCTAGAAATAGGCTGGAGAGGAGAAACTTAGTGGATTGGGGTAGTCGAAAAGAGGCACCTCCATCTCCCCCTCCCCAAAATGCATCAGAGAAGGAAAGCTCTGAAGGGCCATGTCACTCCTACCAAATTGATGACGATGATGACAACCTCCCATTTTTCAGAGAAATTCAAGCTTCTCGATGCCTGCAAACTTCATACCCCCTAAAATCCCAAAGTATGTAGAAAAGGGAGACCCACAGAAATACCTAACTAAGTACATGACGCAGATGAGCCTCAAAGGAGCCTCACCGACACTAAAATGTAGGGCCTTCCATCTAAACCTCATTGGAGCTACTGAAGTGTGGTACAGCAGGTTACCACCCCTGAGCATCAGAAGCTAGTTAGACTTGAAGAAGGCATTTTTGAACCAATACTTTTTAAGAAGGGAAGGAGAGGCCCCAGTACAATGTCTGCAAGACATGAGGCAAGCTCCTTGCGAGACGTTGAAAAGCTATCTCGCCAGATTCACTATACTGCGAGCAAGTCACTGACAGAGAGGCCCTTTCAGCCTTGAAAAGTGGCCTCAACATGAACACACTATTCTGGAGGGATGTATGCAGCAAGAATCTCACCACCTATGACGAGTTGGTTGAAATGATGAGGGTGGAAATCGTCAATGAGAAGATGATTGACCACCGGAACAGTGTAGCTCAAAGACTTCCCCCGCCTCAGAGGCAGATGGGTCAAGGACCAATTGCACACCTCGTCACCCAACAATGGACCCAGGCCGGTCACATAGTAGCCCCCACATCTGAGTAGGCATTGGCTTCGGCCACTCGAAATGCAGTGCCAGTGCTAGCATATGAAAATGATAAACAACAATTGAAAGAAGAATAAGAAGCGATCAAACAGGCCTCTGGAAGGGACAAGGTTCTGCACCTTTCACCAACTTTATGGACACGACACCAGCGAATGTAGGGATGCTCCTCGATCCTCGAATCGGAGTAACCTGTGCTCCTTAAAAAGGAATGAATACCCCTACAGGCCTATCTCCCCGAATAGGAGAGAGAGGCGATATAGAGACCAATCGCCCCAGATGAGAGAATCTAGGGATAGAGGAGAATCCAGGTATAGGGATTAGACCCCATCTAGAGGCCAAGTTATCAAGGAAATTGATACAATCATTTGAGGACCTCACATCGGGGGTAACACCAGAAACACCCAGAGGAACTACGCAAGGAAAGCAAAGGATCCACCAATGATTATTTACATTGTCAATTAGACCCAAGAGGCCAATAGGATGACCCCGATCACTTTCTCTCAAGAAAATGCACAAGGAGTTCACCACCCCATTGTGATGTGTTAGTGATGAGAGCCGCAGTAGCTCAAAACAGGCTTAAATGCATGCTCGTTGACAATGGAAGCTCGGTGAATATATTGTTTGGATCCACCTTTGATAAAATGCAGATTGAACATGAGTTGATCCTCATGACTAACCCGCTATTTGGATTTATTGGCGACAGCATCATCTCACGAGGGTGAATTACTCTACCTGTCGAGATGGGTTAGCCCTCCTAGTGGCCCACCACTTTATGGAGTTCCTGGTGGTAG